GTGTTCGCGCCAGTCTCGATTCGTACCGGCTGACCTTGATTTGCTTTAGGCGTTTGATTTACGAGTCTCGACTTTGGACTCCTGGACTCGACCGGGTAAGTATGGGTAGGTATAGTAAGTATTATTGTTGTATTGTCATTTTACTTTCGTTTCTGTTCTGTCACCGTCTCTGTCTGATCTGTTTATCTCGTCTCGTCTCTTGTTTTCTCTCTGTTTCCCTCGTCCCTCTCTGTCTCTTTTCTGTCTTCGTTTTGTCTGTTTCCTGTCTCTCTCTCTCTCTCTCTCTCTCTCTCTGCCTCGTCTCTTTTTTTTCAAATTTCTCTTCTCGTTTCTCGTTTCTCTGCCATTTCCTATTTCTTTCGTTTCTCTTCTCTTCTCTTCTCTCTGTCTTCGTTTTCTCTGTTTCTTGTCTCTTTTTCTCTTCTCTCTCTCGTTTCTTGTTTCTCAGTTTGTTTCTCATTTCTCTTTCGTCTCTGCTTCTGTCTTCTCTGTCTCTTTTTCTCTTCTCTCTCTCGTTTCTTGTTTCTCAGTTTGTTTCTCATTTCTCTTTCGTCTCTGCTTCTGTCTTCTCTGTCTGTTTCTCTCGTCTCCTTTGTTTCTCTGTCTCCTCTCCGTTTCTCTCTCTATTCTGTCTGTTTCTCTTCTCTCTTCCCTGTCTGTTTCTCTCGTCTCCTTCGTTTCTCTCGTCTCCTTCGTTTCTCTCATCTCCTTCGTTTCTCTACTTCTCTGTTTTCTTCCATCTCTTTGTTTTGTTTAAATTTTGTTTTTTTTCTCTCTCTCTTGTTTCTCTACTTTCTACTCTCTTCTGTCCCTCTGCTTTTTTTTTTTTTTTTTACCCCTTCCACTTCCCAACCTTGCCTCGGCTGATTCGCACGGTGGTGGCGTGGGATAGAGGTTGTGGGCTCCTCGAGCGACTAGCTCCCAAATCATCCACATTGAACCCATTCATTCTTATACCCTCACATCCCCATACTTCCCTGGTCATGGCATTTGAAGCTAGTGGAATGATGTGCGATGGTAAGCCACTAGACACTTGCCTGTGGACGGAGTTCTGTTTCTGACAAAGGCCGACAGACCTTGCGCGACACCGGGTTCGAGGGCGCTCAAGTGGGCGCCAACATAATTCTCTACTCCGACTCTTTATTGGCGATAGTCCTGCGCGCAGGACCACTAAAGTCCACCAACAGAACGACGGAGGTATGCTTCTCTCTCTCCGATGAACACCTCGTTTACCTGGTAGTACTTAGGCTACGGTCGGATATGGTCATCGCCATGGAAATGTCTGCAAAATCAACGGAGACGGAATCAAGTATCGGGATTACTCAAAGGTATACTCCAAATCTCCACACTGGCATCGGCGCTGATGAAATGGGTATCATACACAGGCATTGGGCAGGATTGGAACGGAAATCACGCACTGGGGAACGGCTGTCAGTGCAAGGGCTACGGATCACCGGCATGTATCCGAGATGAAGAAAGCGGGCCGTGTTTTGTGTCACCCATACATTGCATTCGTGTTCAAACTCACTTTCAAAACGAGCAGTACTCTTGGTAACGAAATGAAAAGAATTGAGAGCCATACTTCGTGCAATCTACACATACTTAAAGGGTCATTGAGAATTCCGAGAGCGGTCGCCAGCGCTTGTGGGCGCTTAGCTTCAGAAGTGTCCGCCTTTGGAATCGTCAGGCTCGGGAATACATTTCAAGATTGAGCGTAACAGAGCGTAACCTATAATACAGAGTACAGAAATAAGCACAATGAAATACACTACTTCAGTCCAAGAATACAACAATTATAACTAGAGATGTGGCCTATAGTAGTTCGCTGCTCCCCGATATATTGGCGCAGGTGGCTCCATATCGTTCGAGGGGCGTGTTTTGTTTGTTGACACCCTAGCTAGTGGGATATTCACCACAGGATCGTCTCTTCTAGCACACCTCTTCAGGTTGAGTGTGATACGCGACATCATGGTCACCGTTAGTCTGCGGGACCACGTGTTAGCAATAGGATCTTTTTTACAATGTCCAGAAGCTTACAGTAGTTCGAGCCTATTTAGACAGTGATGAGTTTAGTTGACATAAAAAGCGTGCCTCAAACAACGCACTGGGCAGCAACGTTCTTTAACCCGTCTGGAGCTGTTGCGATCATTATGCTCAAGGCCAAAGTGACCGCGAGGATGACGCTACCAAAGCACCTCAGCAACTGAATACAAAGGCTATAGAATCATAGCACACACCCGTAATACACAAGCCCATCTACCAGTAACTGCTTCATGACCCGAGAAGTGGACATTGTTCGGAGCTTCGGGTACGTCTTGTAAAAGGTGAGCCCAAAAACTGCCGAGTCATACACCAGAGGTAGCCAGGCTGTTGAAGATGCCCACACCCGTGAGACAGAGCTAGTGAAGCGATGGAAGGGTAGCAAGATCTAAGAGTACGAGCATATTGACTGACTTACTGTGGACTGAATATCATCGAACACGCTAAATGGCTGTCCTTTAGCATCGGTCGACAGGAAAAAAATAATTACATACAATGCACACCCCACTCGGCTAGATAAGTGTAACGAGGCACAGCTGGTATTCCATAGATCAGAAGCCATGTATTGGTAGCAAAATGCAATGCTAGGAGTGACGCGACTACTAGGACGATCCACTTTTGCTTCACGTACAAGGCGTAAATACTAAAATATACTGTCACAGATCATCGGAATGTATGACAGATTGGACATACCGTGTGAGCATCATCAGCCCCGCAATGTCGATGCCAATCATAGTCATTGCACCCTCGTATTTTATGAACTTGTCGCATCTATTGTTATGAGTTATGAGGTAGTCCTAGGTTGGAAAAGAAACAACCACGGACGTCTAGAAGAATACATTAGCAAGGTCAGATACTATCCTAAATCAAAACACTTACTTCGCCGGCAAAAATCGGGGAAGTATACGCTAGTGACCATGTTAATATGATGCACAAAGGACGAACAGCCTTTCTCTTACCCAATAGGTTGACGATGAAACCGAGCGGGGTCAAATAGCGATTCTGATTGAAACCGTTAGAACAGGTTTATCCAAAGCCAGCGCTGAAGCTTACAATGAAGAATAGATATACGACTTCGAGAAGATAAAAGTCAGACACGAAGTGAGCGAAGCAGTGGGTGCACGGACGTATTCCCTTATCTCCGAACCAGACGTACTCAACCTGTGAAGTAACCGTCAGACAGCGCGTCCCGCCATAACAACAAAATTTGCACACCTCCATTACGAACGTATCGATGTGGTCCCATAGTAGAATGATGAAGCCTGCAAAGCCGACGAACTAGAGACTGGGTGAGATATCTGGAGAGAGTGAACAATCTACTTGCGTACTCGCGTCACCATTCTAGAGGAATCTGTCAGCAGAAAAACTATGAACACTAGACCTAGACTTACATATTATTCACTACGTCTACCGGGTCGAATTGTGAATCGGCTAAACCGTCCATGTCGGAGGTTGGAGTAAAGTGGAGGATTTGTGGAGGATTTGTGCAATGAAGTCACCATTTATAAGGAAGTCTCCCGTATTCTCTTGTTTGTTCACAAGTTCAAGCTAATGCATCGCCACCCCCATATCCAGGGACGTTATGACTCCACTGAATGGTAGTGCGCTTGATACGCACTTATTACACACGAGTCCTTTTGACCAGGCTCAACAGCAAATACCTGGATCCAACGCCACCAAGCCTGCGGGTTGTATGTTACCTTGACGAATACGATTCTTCAACAGCTTCCACCGATGAGCAGAAGGCTCTTGTGGGTATGATGACATACCTCCGTTTATCACGGAAACGAAGTGCTTGGGATGCTTTGTGTTACGGCGCGTCATACACGAGGAATGCAAGACATTCAGGGTAACCTGTCTGTTGTTCGTGTCAGGGACAGCTATGCAGGCGTCAAAGCTGCAACACACCTTGTACTAAGCGGAGTAAGGCTTTTGAGGAGGGATGCTACCTTCCAAGTCCTGCTCTCCTTCCCGCACCTCACACGTAAAGTTTCCCCGCTTTCTGATTGTTAATTGATAGGTAAAAGCGCTCGACTTCCGACTACAGCAACCGTTTCACAAGATATGCTGTTGACTGTGGAGCATTTCTCGAGGCGGTGTGATCCAGCGCTTCACTTGACGGGAGTACGAAGAGCTTCAAATACTGAGTAGATCGTTTCCTCGGACAAAGCATTGAGAATGAGCGTTCCTGGCTTGGATATCAGCCGCGTGTATGCAAGATGTTGATTTTTGAATGTAACTCTTGACGAGATATCCGACTGTACGGGAACCAGCATGTTCAAGAAAATGGACAGCAGAAACGGCAGCTCTTCGTGTTGTTTCTCATGGATGAAATTCCGTCCGCAGCAGAGCATCCTGATTCCCGTGATAGCGAGATGAGAGGACATATCGCAAATGCAACGATTCAAAGACGCACCCTTGATGCACCGCATCGCCTTCACCCAAATCGCAATGATTCTGTCATAAAGCATCGATCAAAACCCTTTCCCGCATACCTTTGCAGACCTCGTTCTAGCCTCATGAAAACTGCAAGCATTTTGGCCAGAGACATGGTATTGTTGACACGACATCGCAACATTGAGAGATTTCGATTTTTGGTCTGAACCGTCTGATTGTGACAGAGTAGTGACACCGTATAATGAATACTTGGAACGTGGACAGGTGCGGACAGAGCGTAGATACAGTAGCGTTTCAAGACGAGTGACGCGGTGCGTCACGGCGTCACGGATGGAGCGACCCTGACCGGTCCCGAATCTGTCCAGCCTTTTCAGCCACCAATGTTCGATCCCTTTCTTGGTCGCCGTTCACAGAAGGGCGAAAAGTGTACACATCTCAATGTCTACCTGCACTTTCCTCAGCTCAACCCTCAGCATAGGCGTGACAAGTTTGGGTTCCCTCCACTAGCCTCCCGCTAAACCTCGATAGAGCATGGCAATGGCACAGGAAACTTTCTTGGACCAGCCCGCCTAGCTCAATCGGATAGAGCGTCAGACTCTTAGGTTTGTGACTGACAGGCGGGAATCTGAAGGCTGCGAGTTCGACCCTCGCGGTGGGCTAGCATGTACTTTTTTTCCGGACAGCGATCGCGTAAGCTGCCTGCCATTTTGGATCTCTTGACCTGCCCTTGACCACTAGCGACCATTTCTTCCCCGCCCGAGCTTCAAATCCACTTTTCCGAAATCTTCCAGGTTTACTTGATGGCAATGGAAGAGAAGGGATCGGTAGTCATTATAAAGGATTGGGAAAGAAACGGATAAGACTGGCATATCATAATCGTATGTCTTTCCTGACTCTACAACCCCTTCTATTGAGCCCAAGTCAGGCGTCACAAACGATACATCTCAATAGCCGTATTGTCAAAGCTGGAATTTAACACTCATATGCTTTTAATGTATCAAGTATACCCTCTATTTCAACCCCGAGATCTCATTCGACGAGCCAGTGGAGTCCTACTTCGCTACTACCCAACCAGACCCTCCCCTGTATATCATACTGGCATCCATTGGAACCGACGTCGTGCAGCCCAAGGTGCAATGAATGAATATCCGGCGATTCGTACTCGTGCAGGAGGCGATGTACGGTTGGAACTAGAACGCATTGATCAGTGATGAATGTTCGACAACAAAGTACTTACATCAATGGGGTCTTGATTTCCAGCCAGGCAGCGGTCATAAAGGCCTCCTTCCGCTGCATTGCGCACACTGTATCATGATAATCATGATTTTCGTCAATTTTCCTATCAAAGACATACTCTTGTGACCACTTCAGAACAGGACACCTTCGGCACTCTTTCCATCACTATCGGGATCATACACATCCTTCTCCACCCAAGATCCGAGCTCCAAGTCCTATAATCGACTAGTGTTGAGAATCTCGGTACAAGACCACAGCAGTGCTGCGTGGAAAGCCAAATACAACAATCGGGGAAGAACGTCCGAAATAGTATGTCCTTCAAGTTCGCCTTCTCGCATTCGTTATTGGCTGATCTTGGTTGCACCACCAATATAAGTTGCATAGGCCATCCGCTATGATCTCTCCCCAGATCTATCTTCCCTCATGTCTTCCAACTTTCCATCTGGACAACCCATCCTTGACATTGATCTGTCCACTTACATCGGTGGACCGTTCACTGGTGAGTCGCTTCAAGCCTCGAAGATTTCAAATCAATACTAAGATCTACTTCGAAAGGATTTGTCATGTCGATCTTGTATGTACATATGCCAGTTAATACAGCCGGTCAATGACACTTTATTAGTCTCCTTGGATGCAACGTTGTGCTAGCATGGGTTTATTTCAGTCGGAACAGAGACACCTGGTTTTTACGTGCTACCGTGAGTGCTGAACGATCCCCGCCTAATTCAGCTAACACTCACTAGGTTATTGCTCTTATGCAAGCATATTTACTATGTGAAACTAAGTAATATACCGATCGTCTTGACCTTGTTTAGAGCCTTCAACATTGCCAGTACCGCTGTGAATACGCTCGTCATGCACTGGGTTCTGGTAAGCACCCCATTTCTAATTCTGCGCACCTCTCGAATACTCATCGACACGCATAGATCAAACACTACGGCAATCTGGGCAGCCTAGCTAGCCCAGAATCGTAAGCAGACGACTATTCGCGTGAAGATGAAGGCGTTCATTATTTTCTGTTCATCAGGATCTACTACCAATCGGGCGACACATTAGCAAGATCAATAGTCATGTTTATGTTCGTGGCTCAAGGTTCTGGCATCGTTCCCCAGTGATCTCATCGTTCACTAGCGTGCACATCTTCTTCATCTCCCGGGTTTACATCCGTGAGTATAAAACCATGCTGTCAAAGGACTATCCGCTGACAATTTTTGGCGTCAGTCAACCGTGTTCATCGTGCCCTTCCGTATTTTATGGTACCTCTATTTATTCCGAAAGAAGTATCATCTGCTCATTATCGACCCTATCACGTAGCTTCTATGCGCCATTCTTGTCCTTGGTAAGTCTTGTTCTATTAGTCAAACCTGACTCTCAGAAAGTAACAAATATGCAATAGCATTCAACTTAGGTAGGTGTCGCCTGACCGTCGGCGCTCTCAAAAGACTAACCCCGTCCTGGCTATACCAGCAGTCACCATTTATATGTTCATGAACCCGAATCTTGCCTCGCTCACAAGTTCTACATTCGAGGTGAGCATCGACAATCGAACCGTCGCCTCAGCCGTCTCACTTAGTTTATTATAGATGTTCATGATTGTGAGATGCACGTTCGCGGCATTGGTTGATATCACGGTCACAGCTGCATTGCTTTGGTCGTTCCGAACTTCCAAGACTGGATTCAAGAGGCAAGTTCGTCATCACTGGAGTGGAGTAATAGTATTTGTTCACCTTGCAACCAGAACGGACACGCTGTTACGAAGACTTCTGAAGTACACTGTGACTCGAGGAGTACTGGTGACCGTTATGCAAATATCGCTCTTTGCGATTTATATTGCCAAGAAGGATACCCTTGACTGGTGAGCCACCCTTTTACACCATTTCGGGATACCCCAGAGGGCTTAATATTATGTAGGACTCCCGTGGCCTACATCGAAGCCGAGATCTACATAATGACTATGCGTACGTTCACCGAGTTTTCTCCCGGTATAGAACACCTTTTGATTACCGTCTGACAGTTGTCATGTAAGGACCACGCCGGCTCAGCCCTTCATTGTTCGTAATGAATGTGATTCTCTAGGTTGAATAGCAGACCGCCGCATGAAAAGGGTGGTGTGGTGAACGTTAGCGCAGAACTAGCCTCGGGCAGGATCGATAGCGACACGTCTGGTTCCGGCGAAGTCGAGGGCGAATCGGCATATACACTGAGCCACTTTCCTAAATCCTCAGTGAGTTCTTTCATGCTCTTGTATCGCCAGGTCTAATGCACTCTGTAGGTCGGTCACGATAAAGGTCGGTAGCCCAACATTTATAATCATGGCTTTAGGTTGATCCTTGTTTCGAACTTGTAGGGATCATCATAACTCGACAGCAGATGGTAACATCCGATGCGGACGTTTAAAACAGTACGGAGAACGGATTCATTGTCCTTGAATGTTCTTACTCGTGACACGACCATAATCATTGTTCTGTTTCTGGATCATGTTCACTGTCGCAAGTCAAAAAGATTAGTCTTAGTACATATTGTTACTCATGATCACGCACCAAAGGGTCCTCTTCCTGAACATGACCTTGGAGTCGAATTCTAAAACGACGGGTATTTTACGTCCTTTGTACCATGATTTATCAGCATGTGCGCAAGCATGCGTTTGAGCAAAGAATCTTCCCGGGCTGAGGAGAGGCGTAAACGAGAACTCAAATGCAAGCGCAACGAAGGAACCTATCTAATCGCGTTTCAAGACTAAGCTGCACGACGGGCCACGGCTGATAAACTTAAAGCTCGAAGAGCTGAAAATACAGTTACCCGCCCACTCTCTTTCGTTGCAAACTCAGACCTTAGACTTCCTTCAATAATAGGTATGAGGAATTTGTAGCATGCCATTGAACCAACTTCCTTTTTTCGCTGAAGCGCTGCAGACACGTGACCGAATGAGAAATCGGCGGGTCGAGTAAGCGCCCGTACATACCGAAAAAGCTAGCTCGCGCCGGCGGCCGATTCGAAACCTCTCCCATAATCCACTAACGCTCTGTCCATCATTACTTCTGAGCACCACTTCGGCAGATAACGTAGCTGTAGATGTCAAGCAAGGTTTGATACACAGGGTGTATCCGGCAAGGGAATTGTGTCGTTGAACTTCCTTGACCAGTCGGTGCGCCTTTATCGCATATCTTCGTCCTCTCTTGGTTTGAGAATCCTAACAGATGTAGAGAAAGAGATACCATCCAGCTCATCCAGGTCTCCTCTCATTCAAGAACACGATGTCTGCGACCAAACTCGTGCATTATCGCTGGCGGTAGCGGGTCTACAAGTCGGTCATGCGAAGACGTCGGAAACTTGTCGGAAACCTTTCTCTATTGCAATAGCATCAGGAGCAAAAACCACAGCCGGAACCTCAGGTTTCAAATTTCAGCTTTATTTTTCGGCGATGGAGGGGAGACCGGTCATGGCCGGAAACCTAGGATATCCAAGGTTTGTTGATGATCAAAATCGGGACGAACATTTATAACCTCTGAGACTACCACTTAGAGCCAATCCGCACCCATCTTCAGGCCTCTTTCTCACAGCAAATAACCCAGCCTATACACATTCTCATGTCCTCGGTCGATATTAACCTCTCAACATTCGAAAATGGGCCTTTTGCTGGTAAGCGTCCCACAGTCCACTATGATAGCACCCCACACTCAACTTGAGTCCAAAGGATTTGTTGTGTCGACTGTGTATGTTCCACAAGTTCATCTTTGATGATGTCGATGCATTTCCTCACTCAGTTTACTCGGGGGCAACATTGTACAAGCCTGGCACTATTTCAATTACAACACAGACCGACTGTTGTTGCGTGCGACTGTGAGTCCATCTGCTTAGTTTGGTTGACAAATCACAAATAACTAGCTTTATGGACATATAGGTGGCTGTCTTGATGTGAGAAACCGTGCATACAAACCGGTGAACTATGTCTGACTTAGCAGTGTCTAGTCTGCTGGATATTGCCAGTACCGTCATGAATACATATGTCTTGCATTTTATTCTGGTCAGCCTGACCAACTTTCTCGTTTCCGAACTGGTTGAAATACAATCTAGATCGAACACTTCGGAAATACTTCTACTCTGGTTGCTCCGAAAATGTAGGTCCTTAATACCTGACAGGACGCGATAACTCACCGTTCCTGCTAGATTCTACTGTCAAGCAATCAATGCTTTTTTGAGAGCAATCGTGATAATGATGTCTGTATCATCAATAGATTTGTGGAAGTGGGCACTGATCTTGACACTACTAAAAGCGTACAGATTTTCTTTGTCTCTCGCGTTCAGATCTGTAGGCCGCAAGCAGTCTATGTTGTGAAAACCACTCATGCTTACATTATTTAGTGGAACGCGTCCATCGCTTTATCCCGTACTTCATGGTATTTTGTCGTGGATATTGATGGGA